AAGAACCACATCTCAGAAGAAATTTGGAAAACAAATTTTAATGAACATGTTGATTTATGCTTTTCTTTGTACATTCGGCAAAATAATCAGAAGTAAGGGATTACTGCATAAATAAATACATGAATCTGGTTTGATAAATGATTAGAGATGATAATTTACAAATTGAAGTGAATCCCCAAAAGTTTTCTTTCATTATGGAATGTAATATATAGGATTTGGTGTTTGAAGGACCGTGTGGCAACTGCGAATCCTTTGAAGTTGCTCCACTTATCACCGAAGGATCTTGAATTCTACGGGCCCATCTGGTAAGTATGTGATCCTTTGCTGTATCTTGAGAAGTAATCTCGATTTAAGATTATTCACTACATGCTCACCCTCAAGCTCCCTCCACATTTGCATAAGTGAGGATGCCCGGATGCTTAACCTGTTTTGTTCATCTCTCATTTTGTTATGTAATTAAACAGTCTCCTGATGCGATAATCTAGATTACAGATAATGAGAGCCTTAACAAAGAGAGCCAAGTACTTTTTGGTACAGACCACAAAGAAAATGATATGTGCCCGCAAACTTAACGCACATTTCAACATACTTAGTGTCATCTTTCTCAACAAATGTTGCTTCCCACACCTACTCATAACTTTGCCACTTCCGGACCCTGTAAACTGCTTTGTAGAAGGCTAAAATCTACTTGAAAAAGAGTAAACTTAATCATGCAAAGAACCAGTTCAGATAACCTAGTCGAACTAATACAAAGAGCAAAACTGCAAACCAAGAAGATGAAAAATTAGCCAGTTCAATAACCTAGTCGAACTAATACAAAGAGCAAAACTGCAAACCAAGAAGACGAAAAATTAACCTTGTGGGTTTTCATTTTTTAGCTTTTCTTCACCCAGTAATCCCCCACATTATTCTCCCAGCCACAGGAATCCTTTGATAGCATGAAAGTTTATTAAACTAAATGATAAGATATAAAAGGAATTGCAGCGACTCATTAAGTTAATGGTGAGAATTATCCAAATTTTTGGTACATCTTATTATTTCTTTTATGACCTGCATATGTATTTTGAACCTATAGAAATTAATTTTGTTACGAAAACCTAAGGTATCAAGATAAGTGGAGATGGATTGTGCATAAGAGACCCTACAGCAAACATAGAAAGAACATAGCAGGGTGTAACTAAACATAGAACATGCAGTTGGAGGCATGTTATTATGCACATACATGATTAGACTAAAAACCTAATATGAAGGCAAAACACTTCGTATTAAATTGATAAATACAGAAAAAAAAACAAAAACGAAGAACATTCAAAACTGAAACCAAAACTAACCAAAAATAGAACTGAAGAGATTTAACAATCCCAGCTTTTGAACCATATGATTAAAGGGGAAATTAAATTCTTGTAAAATGAATCCCTGAGAGAAGTCCGTACAGAAAGTTTCAAGGAAACAGAAAATCGTTCAATGCCACAGATGCAAGAATCGGATTTGAATTTTTGGATGAGATATCAAAAGGACATTTCTGAATATCAGGACAATAGTCCTTTGGCAAAATGGTTTGATGTATAAGATATTCACATAAGGTGGATACAAAATAAGAGGTTTACATAGCAAAATGGTATGCATTCATATCAATCTCCTTTAAATGGTCAAAGAGATGAAAATTAAAAAACTAAAGTAGTGCAAGACCGTAACCCATCCACCACGCAATTAAATAAATAAAATATCATCAAAATGGTTTTGGTGCACAACAAAATCCATCAATCTTCTATTTTCCAACAGCCTCGAAGAATATAGCAAACAACGAAAAGACAAAACATAAATTTTGATTGCTTATGATCAAGCAGAGAGCCAAATTTAAAAAGAATGCCAAAAAAATAATCCCAATAATACTATAGCAACCAAAAAAACCAATCTTTTGCCTTGTCACTTAACATCACATGCGGCAATTCATTAAACAATGTAACTTTGCGTAACTGGAAATCCCACACAAAAGAATGAGCAAAAAAAAAAAAAAAGAAAGGAAAAAAATAGACCTAACCCCGTGATAACCAGCCAAAGCAAATTTGCTTATCAACGGCGAATGAAATCCCCACTTATCTATAAGTACAGTGATTTTGTCTTTACACCACACCCTGAATAGAAGGGCTACAAATTGAGGTAAATTTGTTCAGATTTGTTGGTTTCCCCGAGGCCCAAAACTAATGAACAATCGCCATCATATAACCTGTAAATCATCACTTGAACCGAAATTAAAATAATAGAAAACGCATCTATTGCCTTGGAATAAAATGAATTGAAAGTGATATTAGGGATTCAATCACCATATTCACGTTGATGATAGCAAGACCGGCGAGAGCTCTAACAACGGAGTTCTTGGTTCTCCCATTGTCGATCTAAAGAGCGATGATTTCGTTGTTTGAATGTTTGTCGGCCGCGCTTTCAATTTGGCAGAGAGAGAACAACGGCATCGTAAAAAATCAAATCTGATTGTGTAAAAATAATAATTGATAAACATGACTCAAAAAATATTGAATTTATACCCGTTTACATGCCGATAATAGTCTACGTTCCTGCACAATACCTTTGCCATTGGAGCCTGAAAGGAATGGAGCAGCGGAGAGAGATGGGGAAGAAGAAGCATAAAAGAGATTTTCGTCTCACGGTAAGACGGAAAAAAAAACCCCCAAAAATTGATCTTTATCAAAATTTGGGATTTGATTTTACGATGGAAAAAATCAAAATAATCAAAATTTGATTTTGAGCTATAATTTTGGAGATAAACCAGGGAGTAGTTATATCAAATTGGGGACACGTTTAAAGCTAAAATGACATGTTATTTTATATTTATTTATTTCATTCTTTTTTCTTGAATAGTTGTTGTGCCACGTGGCGTATTCTCCTTGGTTTGGTTTTGTACTGAGAAGCGCTGAGAAGCTTTGGAGGGAAAATTTTAATTTTAGAACTAACACATGTCCTTAGTGTTTGCTGCTTTAAGTAAGTACTAGATGCTTGGCCCAGGCAGATGCCCGGGCGCCCTCTCTACTTTAATTTTGTGTTAATAGATAAATGAATTTTTTATTTGGAAAAAATAAAATAGCTACACATTTATTTTTTCCCTTTTTTAGTCAAAAATAAAAATAAATATAAAAAATCATCTGCAAAAGAAGAAAAAAATATTAAAAAGTACACCAATGCAGAAATCATACAAAAGAATGTGAATTAATAAAAGGGATAAGTTTATGGACAAATTTAAATCCTATCTTAATTTGATTGATAAATGATAAGTGTTATGAGTTAAAATTGTATAGATATTTTTGTAAATTAGCTTTTGTTTTTCCGGATAAGAAGTTTTTTTTTTTCTTTTAAAAAAGGATGACACGTGGCAGAATGGTTAAAGCAATATGGTGCATTTGGAGCCAAATTTTTTTAATAAGAAGTTGCCACATCAACAGCATGTATTCTGCTTTAATAGGGTAAAAGGGATAATATACTATAGATATAGATATAGGAACATATGAGGATGAAGTGGCACTAATCTCGCACGTAACATACTTAAATGTGCTTACCTAAATTCCTTAATTAGACTTTAAAGTTGCAATATTAAATTACCATTATTAGACCAAGAGCCAGCCGAAAAGTTTAGACTGCTCCTGATGTGCTTCAAATTAATCGGTAGACTACAAGGAACAAGTTTACATATGTTCGTCGCAGATCAATATAAGGATTTATCTGTTAGTTTCTTTATTTCGGCGGATGGTGGTGGCCCGTGTGTTGGATGATTAATTGTTTATTTTGTTATCGATCCAGAATCCAATTTTGGTAGTGTTGAACACTTAAAAACGATCATACCCAGACAAGCGAGTTGTTGATAAAAAATCAGTAAGGTATAAATGAATAAAGTATGACCTTTGCACGGCGAGGATGAATTTATAGCGTGCTTGATACTCCACGCACGTGAGTAAAACTTGAACATTTTTTCTTCTTCATCAAAGTCCTTCAGTGATCCAAGCGACGATGCAAGATTTTTGCCCAATTATCATTTACCTCATCACGATGAAAGAAAAGCAGTGCTATGACATTGAATTTTATCACTAGTGTTTGAGGAAGCCATTACCTAATTTCTGCATCAGGAGTAGGTAGAACAGGGAGTTTGGGAGGCTTAAAACATTAGAATGTACTCCCTCCGTCCCATAATTATTGTCCAGTTTGGGTTTTTATTTTCAGTTTAAACTGTACTAAAAGTGAAATTTCAAACTGGACAATAATTTTAGGACAGAAGGAGTACTATTTTTTTTTTTTTTACAAATCTTAAAACTCAATATGGGGATATTAGTAAAAATTGACATCAGACGAAAGCGATCAATACTCTGAAAAGAGTAATTACGTGTCTTCTTCCTTTGATGATAACTATGAACCGGCTGCCTTTTCACCCTACAACGATTAAGTATGTGATATTATCTCTATCTCAGAAAAATAGTTCTCATTGAATTCTGAGATCTCTAACAATACTATCTCTTCGTTGTACCTACTTCCTCAGAGGATCTACCCCTTTAACAATACTCGTATAATCATTTGCATAGTTGGATAATTTATACACTTGCTATGTCAAGTAGTGCAAGTTGAAGTGATATACGTGGATAAGAAGTGCTAAATAACGATACAGGTTGTCTAAAACGAAGAATGAGACAGAGAATCTAAGTTTTGTTATTAGAATCCGGTTACATATTCGGCAATGATTTTGTAATCGTTGAACCTCACGCAACACTACAATGGGACCATCTTTAGTGAGGTGCAAGAATTTTGAGAAAAATTGTGTATTGCATCCAACTTTATCAAACTTATTGGTGTATTTATACGTGTCTAGTGAATAATTAGAATATTTTATCATTCCACAACTTGAATCATTATTAATTTGGAAAATATTTCTAATGAAACACATTGTAATGTAATCCATTATACATATAAGTTACGAAATTGGAAAGAAATGTTCAAATTTTATGCAATTTGAATGAGAATTCTTTCCTTATTTTACAATTACTTCTATACAATAACAATTTTTCAGGGGAAATAAACTTTAGCAAAAGGCTATAGTTATTCCATGTACTTCAACACAGACATGTCCACTCCAAAATATATAAAGCTTTTAAGAGTAGACCAACTTATACTTTCCAAGGTAAGTTGTGTTAAACCCTGCCACGAATAGGTCATTACCTTGTTGGTAAACAGTAGCTATGAGTTGAGTGAACTCTTGAGTGAGGTTCAATACTGCAAGTATTTGGCCAGCAGCATTAAACTTTACAGCTTCCGTGTTTACGTATGTTTCATTTACCCCATTGTTAATTGCAACCCAAAAATTATCTTCACCGTCGATTCTCTTAATCTGATATGGACCTCCTAGACCTGATAAGAAAATTTCAGAAGTACCAGCCTTCAGTCCTCTTATATAATACTTTCGGATCCTACGAGCTGTGTACTCCGAAACATAGGCAGCTGAGGCATCTCTGTCGGTGGCCACCCCTACGGCACCTCCTAACTGCGTGAGCAATTCAGTGACTACTTTTGTTCTAGTATCATATTCCAAAAGCTTTCCCGTTGAATCTCCACTTTGTATAGAGATATTCGCTTCCCTAAAGAAAAAGAAAATGTAGCTTCAAAGTCATTAAACTACTGTAACCTAATATTGGAACAGATTTTGATATGGTGTTGATGAAAAATTGGCAAGTGAAGTTTCCTTTTTATGGAAGTAATTAAAAGGGAAAAAAAAATTACAATTAATGTTTGCCTGCCAATTCAAAAATTTTTTAGTAATAAGTAAATTAAACACACCTTACTCCATATACACTACTGGCATCGACAAAATAAATTTTCCGGTTTGAAGCAGCATCAACGGCGTCAAGTACGTGGTATGGTACACCGTCTCTCGAAGGGACTAAATTAGTCGTAAGCCCCCCGGGAAATCTCACTTCTGAAAGCCCTAGCGATATGTCAAGAGCATAAATTTTTCCAGTACGACGCTCCGTACTCAATCCCGATGGAAAACCACATATTTGTAAGCTTTCAATGTCGGATCTACCATCACAAAATGCCTTGGTCCTGAAGGAAAAAAAAGAATTAAACAAAAATATAGTTAATGAATAAGACTGGAGGAAGAATTGTCTGTGCCATCTAAATATTGTAATGTTAGGGATTGAGTTAAAACATTACCTCTCCGGCGACGTATAAGCAAAATCTTCGAAAATTCTACGAAACTTGTTGTACTTCAAGATCCTACCATCTACGGTGCCTGTGTACGGACCTCCATTCCACAAGTCAAATGTTAAGGCTCCTGTGGATGCCACTGGTAATGGGAGCTTTTCAAATGCAGTAATACTGATATGTCTACCAGCTGGATGAATTACATTAGAAACGATCAAACAAGGAAAAGTAAAGAGGAGAAAGAAGGTAAAAAAGGAAGGAATGATCATATTCTTCATCCTGATGTGATGTATAGGAATGTTGTTAGTGATTGGTATGCTATTTATAGGGAAAAAATAGGCAAACATTAAACTAGCTACATAATCCTTGTCCTAAAATAATTATCAAACTTGGATTTCTATTAAACAAACTGTATTAAAAGTAAAAATTCATAGTGGATAATATAATCTTAGGACCGATGTATATTCTTACTAACCGATTTTAGGTTTATGGTCTATATAATTTGGTATAACCTATCAAACTTGAGTTAGTTAATTTAAAGCCATCTTTTAATTAAATAAAATTAGGCGAGAGTGAGGTTAGACTTCTTCCGTCATTAATGACTTACATTCTCCTATAGTTGGACCATTATAAAGAATTTGATTAATTGCCATTTTGAGAAAATCTCTAATATAATGTAGCAAGTACGTTTATCTCACGTAATTGAATATAGTTTAAAATGTGTAATATCTCCCACATCTAAATATATCATTCTATCGGTATAAGAACAAAAAGAACTTATTCTGATGGCGTAGGAAATGAAACAGAGAACCAGCAACATACTGTATTAGAAACAAAATAAAAGTTTAAAAAATTTACCACCTTTTCCCTTGTGACACTTGACACTTAAGTCTTCATATATTAAGAAATTTAGAAGTCATCTTGCCAGATCAATACATTTGTTTATTTTAACATTTTATGAAAAACAATGTTTTAGAATTAACCCCTGTAATGTCCCAAACAAACAATTTAATTGTTAATATTTTCATTTTATCATCATTTTCTTCCCTCTAATCAGAAATTGATTTCCTATGCCAATATTTCAAAATCCAAAAATTTATGTATGTAACCCAAAACAACAAAATAAAATAATCAACAGAATTAAAAGGAAAATTATATGATTTCTTACATTCTCAATTTAGAATTCAAAAATTTTTGTCATCACGTCGAAAGAAAATTTTCCCTTCAAGTAGCTTACCAAAGTTTTATCAGTTGTAGTATCATACATGAATTTTGTATAGATTTACTCAATACAATAGGAAACACCATTTGTCTTCCTAGTTGCAGGATTTGGTTTAACAATATTCAACATCAAACTTCATTAAAGATGAAGATGTGAATCCGTTACTTGAGCTCGCTTGTGTTCCTGGGTAAAGTTGATTTTGTTGATGTGAATTAGGGCGCTCAACTAATCTAAAAAGCCTTAGACCTGGGATATCTTTGCCCTTCAGTAGTTTTCCTTCAGTCTACTTCTACTAGTTGATCAATTTAGTTTCGAAGTTGTTGCAGTGTTTTGATGATGCGAATGACGACAATCTTATTGTTTATTCCATCAATCCAGCTACTCTCCACTTTGTTTTACTCTCAACCCATTGCAATACTTTGTGATACTCCATTTCAATTGTAATATCTAGTATCAAGGGCAAATTTGATTATTCGAATAGTGATTGCACAAGAAAAGAATAAAACACACTAGTTATAAATTTTTGTGGCGAGAGAATTTTTCGGAGGAATTAATTGACTAGTTGTGGAAAGAGACAGAGTGCCAATACCTAAATAATAATGAATTATCTGAGCATAGTGAATTATTTTTTTTTTGAGACGGAAGGAATAGTAACGCAAATTTTAGACCAAAAAAGCACTACCCTGTTCACATTATGTAAACCATCCAAAATCTAGCAATTTTGTCTCTAACTAGGTGAACTGGTAGATTAACTCTTCCAGCATACAAATTACGAAGTGATTTATATTGATATTAATCACCGATCAAACCCTAAACCACAAATTCCAGAACTTCGAAGTTGGAATCGAATACAGGTAAGGCAAAAGTCAAACCAAACAGGGAAAAAAAAAAAAAAAACCAAAGCCGAATCAAAACTTGAAAGCATAATTAATTTATTTTTTCAATGATTCCGTGTAACAAAATCGACGATGAAGAAACTCGAATCTCACTAACCTAAAAACTAATTCAACCTGATGACTTCCGTTTCTTGTATTGCTTCTTCACAAATTTGACACCTTTAGAAGTTCCAACCTTGACTTTCTTCGCCCCAACAATAGCCGCCGCCGCCGCTTTGATCAGCCCAGCCACGGCCAATTGCGTGACGCCAGCAATCTTTTTCATGATTTTGTTTTCTTTCTTGATTCTTGTTTCATGGGGAAACATATGATCCCAGTTTTCCTCTCCCGTAGTCGCCATTGAAAATTATGTGAGAGTTTTTTGTAATTCTGCTAAACAAAAAATAAAAAGTAAAAAATCGATGACGTAAGGGTTTATAGAATCTGTGATATAATTTGGATGTCTGAGTGGTAATATATACGAGTAGAGTCGCCGTCATAAAATCAGAATCACAATAGGAACATAGCTTATTCTGATTTCTGATTAGCGTCCTTTTTAAAGTTGGATAGTTCTTTCTTCTTCTTAATTTTTTTTTTTTATTTGGGGTAACAGAATCAATTATCAGATTCTCCATGAGGTTACAGTAGCCGAAAATCAGCTTATTATCAGAGCGTTTCACGTTATTGTCGATAACTTCATTAATTTCTCCGAAATAATCTTCACTAGTACTCGCTTTGTCCCAAAAGTACAAATTTCAAAAATTAATTTGGACAATTTTACTAAAAATGATATTTTTTTTATCTGTCGCTTTCACTAAAAACAAAGTGATTACTTACGGAAAAAGTATGGTCGTGGTAAATCCGTAGTTATTTAGCCACGTATTCCACGAATTATCCACGAACGTTTGAACAATTTTAATTTATTTTTTTTAATAATTTAACACAATATTAGCCACAAAATATCCATGTCTAAAATAACATTGTGGCTAAGACGTGGTTAATTAATATTTTTCCAACAATAAATTTGTCACAGTTTTGTTCGTGTCTCATGGTTCGTATGTAAATCAATGGGCATTATTATAATTAACCACGAAAAAAGTGGCTAAAGCAATGTGTATATCCATTGACCAATGTTGACCAAGCAAAAATTAAACATTAGACACGACCCAGGTGTTGTGGTTAAGTATTCCGTGTGAAAATCCATGGCTAGTTTTTGAATTAACCACGACTACGAGGATAAAACTGTGTGTAAAAGGCATTGGTCAATATTGACCGAGTTCAATTTAACTTTAGACATGGTCTAACTGCTGTGGATAATTTTTTTCGCGTGTAAATTCTTGGCTAATATTTGAATTAACAACGAATTCACCACAAATACTTTAATTTTATCACGGTAAATATATGAAGGATGTAAAATGTATGTACATTTTTTTTTTAAATAAGGTAAAATGTAAGTAGTATATAGTGTTCAACCATAATTTCTATCCGTGAATAATATTGTTCATTTTAACAAAAAAAGTAATAGTTTGTATGTTTAATAGTATATTAACAAAAAACAAAGACAAGCATATTTATAATTTTAGTTTAAAGTTTTCATGCATGTAAAATTTAATTTGTACATGAATATGTATTAGCATATTAAGACGATGAATGTGTCAAAACAACATTAGTATAGTTATAAATTCTTACGTTTAAAGATGAGGGTAGTTATCAAATAGACGTCCGATACAATATATAATCACAAGTTAAGACAAGTTAGACATTCGAAATGAGACTAACTCACAAACTCGATCGTATCATATTTCTTAATGGGCATATAAATGTGAAGCACAATATCGATAAACTACTGTACATTGATTAAGATTAATTAGATTATATTTGATAACATTTGTAAGCCAATCGTGTAAAAAATACTTAACCTAATAAGTATAAGTTTCATTTTTATTATCAAACGTACTCTGTGTAAGTTATAAACATTATTTAAATTTTAATTTATTATATAGTGTCAAAATGTCTCAAAGTTCGGGTTTTATGTAAAATTTAAAGATTATTTATGAGGTTGTAATTGAAAATGGCTACAATGATATGTCTTTTAAGTGGAAAAAATAGGGGTTAAATTCTCTTAGGCTCTGTTTGGTTGGATTGAATTGGACCCAAGAATTGGAATTGGAGGCCCTCAATTCCAATTATTGTGTTTGGCTGAAAAAATAGGGGCTCTGGAATTAGAATTATAATTCAAGATGAGGCTCAATTCTTTATTTTTAATTCTTTTGTGGGAGTAAATAATTGCAATTCGAACTCTAGGGGCTTTAGAAAAAACGCGAGTCATATACGGGTCGTTTTCCGGGTTATAACAAAATGGGTCTTTTTTTTTTTTTTCCAGCGCTGCACATGCGCTTTTTTCCTTTTTCATTTTCGTTTTTTTTCCCTTTTTCTTTTAGCGCTGGGCTTTTTTTGTTTTTTCCTTTTTTGTGCATTTTGTTAAATTAACATATGTTTTTATTTATGGTGCAAAAGAGATGTACATCATATTAATAATTATTAATGAGATCTATATATTAAAATTAGTATTCTTTTAACAAAAACAATCAAATGTATAACGACACCCGTAATTTATTTTAAAAATGAATGGTATTAATTATGGGTTAACATTTTTTTATCAAATGTATTTTGAACTATACTTGAAATTTTTTTCATTAAAAATTATGTAAGCTTTCAAGAAATCGAATATATATTATTCCATACGTAATTATATACTAAAATTAAAAAATAATTAATTAGCACCATGTATTAATGTTAATCTATGCATAAATGAATGCTCTTTACTTTTGACTATATAAAAATTTTACACTAAAACCCAAAAAAAAAACTAAAGATTAAAAATTTATAAAATAATAAAAAGGAGAAGAACAAGGATGTTCTACATGTTACTTGTGAGAATTCCAATCATCACATTCATACTTACGTAATAATAAAAAAATGTTTTCCACAAGTATGTATGTATCTATAAATTATAAAATTGATATATATTACTCAAACAACAAAAGTTCTAATATAAATGTATATGATAAATATTATATATGTAAGTAATAAATTGCTTTGATATATAGATTTAAGTATTTATTTAATTCAATGAAATAAAATACTAAACTATAGTTAGATAATAAAAAACTAATTCTAATT